CCCCAAAACCCCAAAACCCCAAAACCCCAATGTTGGGAATATAGATTGAATTAGGGGAATAAAAATGAAGTTTATACTGAATATTAGAATTTAGAAATTCTGAAAAATACGGTTGTGAAGTAAGTTTGGAGGTGTTTTCAATTAATAGAAGGGTTAGTTGTAAGAGGGGAGTTTATTATACTAAAAGGAGGGATTTGCTAAAATTCATGAATATTTTTGTTATTGGAGAATTTTGAATTTCTATTTATGCTTTATTTCTCTTTTCTCTCTTTCAAAAATTTCCATTCTCAAAAATCCCATCAATCCTCAACCCCATAAAAATCCTCCAAGCACCATACCTCTATAACTCTTCTACCCACCCTTATTCGCTATTCCAAAATTTTAATATCCTTTTATCTCTTTTTGCTCAGTTTCCTACCCTCATCCTGCTCTTTTTGACTTTTCTTATTGAATTCTCATTTTCATTGTTAAGGTCTCCCACAGTGCAGGAGTCAGTTGTGGAAGAGGAAACTTAGTCTTTTTAGGGGAGACTGGAGTGGAGAGGGGTTGGCTGGGGAAGAGAGAGTTGAAGGGCAGATTGAGGTTGGGGAAGGAGGATTGGGATATAGTTGATAAATTACATCAAAACGGTGTCCAAGAAGCTCGACCTAAAATAGTGTTCCACCTAGACATCAAGAAGCAATGTGTAACAGCCATTATTAGTATGCCCGAGTGTACCAGCTTGCTGATGCTGGATCTGCCTCATAATAAAATTTTGATGCTAAACGGTATCGGAGCCTGTGTGACTCTGACTCACGTGAAAGTAGCCTACAACAAGCTATAGCAGCTGAGTCCGCTCAAAGACTGCAGAGAACTGGTGACATTGATGTCTCAAGGAAACAGCATCAAAGACTTCGAGAACGTCGAAAGCTTGGGCTGCCTCAAACACCTTTCGAACTTGTACTTGAAAGAGTTTTCGGGAGACAGCGCCAATCCCATCTGGGATGATGACTGCTATGCAGAACACACGTTTGAGGCTCTTCCGAGTGTGTTCATGCTGGAAGGATAAGTGCGAGGCCAGGTTGCTTTCGAAGAACTCAAAGAAGGCAAGTTCAAAGCAGACCGACAGGAGTTCACGAACAAAGAGCTGTGGTATTCAAATGAAGTTGAGTGGCCCTCAAACATCAAGTTTGCACTAAGTGCCGAACTCGAGCAGATCGAGGAAGCAGAAGACACGCTGAGGAGCATTCTTAACAACTAAGAAGCGAAGTCAAAGAAGACGAGGTAGATTTCTAATATTTAAGTTTCAACAAAAGGCTAAATTGAAGGGGTTTTGGGGTTTTGGGGTTTTGGGG